AATCTGAAAATAATCGGTTTTGTAGCGCCTGAGCGTTGAGTCGCTGTCCAACCTCTGTTTTAGTATTTTTATCATAACTTTTTCATCCGATATCCGATTATAGCGATTTGAAATGCGTTAGAAAGATAACTCAATGATCTACAACATTGATATAAATAGCTCTTTTCGAATTCGAACGTTTAATGGGACAAAAATGGGTCTCGATCTCCAACTAAATATTTGGACATCCTTGCACGGTTGAAAATTGATTTGTTTTCACTTCTTTTAATCTTTAGTTGTTTCATTTGACCCCCTAACATTCTCGAATCTTCATCGTGAGCTTCGGCACCGCTTTTGGATATTTGCACTTTAGCTTCCAATCTTTGGATCTTGCCATTTTTCGCTTATTTCTTTCAATTCCACTTCCATTCATTGAGTTTCACTTAATAACAAATTATATAATAAATTAGGCTATACTTTCATAAAAAGAATTACGAAATGTCAATATTTTGGAGCCCGAACAAGTGTATAAAATACACTTATCAAGCGTATAAGAGATTAATAAAATCTCAATACTAGCTATAGATGCTCCATCTCGTATTGATGTCATAGAATTAAAAACTTTTGCATTGTATAAATTAAACGTCTAAAGCTTTATGAAATTGGATTTTGAAGATAAAACTTCTTGAAAAAAATGGGAGCAAATAAACAAGATGATCACATTTGGGAGGTAAAATATATAAACATAACTAGTTATAAAATCACAAAAGAAATTCAAATACTTATTGAAATTAGAGATGTCTCAATAAGTTAAGTCATTATGAGAAAGATGCAGAATCGAAAAGTAAAAAAAATATTCGAAACACTTTTGTAAATTATGCAGCTTTCGATAATACGAATAATGAGGATATCAGAATAAATTCATTGAATCATATCGATTGGATAAATGATTGGCCAAATGATGGAAAGCAATTTTAACAAAATTGAACTTATTAAAGAACCATGGAGTTTTTGGATCTGCATTCCAAATACCACAGGGTTATACTTATACAAAAAGAAAATAAGAAAAATAAAGTCATAAGATGTAATATGTAGCGAATTTTGTAAAATCTTGTATAAATAGATAAATTATCTTGTAGTGAATGTAATCACAAGCATATATCTTGTTATCTAGCAACACATGTAATTTGATATGCGTAAAATAAATTAAGTTATATCCAACTCATTTGGTATGACTATTAATACTATCCCTAAAGGATTTAAAGTGTGCGAAAAATATAATTCAAGTGATATTATCGTAATGGGAGTAAATAAGCATAGTACTCTTTTCTATTTGGCATAAGTTTTGTCTAGGTTATTAATGAGGAAGCTTTTGTACCACACCTAAAAGAATAATGTACT